GCTGCTGCTGCTTGTCGCTCAGGTGTAAAGACAGCAACTGCTGCTGCACGCAACCGTCTCCTACTGCCACCAGGTCTCCCTCCTCTGTAAACAGCAGCAGGCGGGCCCCCTCAACAGCGAATGCAACGCTGCGGAGAGCCACGCTGCTGCTGCTGCTGCTGCTGCTGCTGCTGCTGCTGCTGGTGTTGCTGCTGCTTGCAGCTTCGTCGTCACACGGGAGGAATCGCTCGTCCTCTATTAACTCAAAAAGTGTTGGCGGCGAAGCAAAGAAGGCAGCAGCATCGTCACTGCACAGACACCGCAGCGGGAGACAGAGGCAGCAGCTATCGAGCAGGTGCTGCTGCAGCAACGCAGCAGCAGCAACGAGAATGTAGCAGCAGCAGACACATCAGCAGCGGTGTTTATAGTACTCCATCTAAAGCTTCTCCTGCTGCAGCAGCTAGGGTTTCTGCAGCAGCAGCAGCTAAGGTTTCTGCAGCAGCAGCAGCTAAGGTTTCTGCTGCAGCAGCAGCTAAAGTTTCTCCTGCAGCAGCAGCTAAGCCTTCTGCTGCAGCAGCAGCTGAGGCTTCTGCAGCTGCAGCAGCTGAGGCTTCTGCTGCTGCAGCAGGGGCCCCCCCTCACCTGGATACAAAGGACTGCAGGTCGCCCCACAGCCAGAGGTCCCCTGACTCCGACAGAGCAGCGCTCGTGATGCCCCCTGCAGCAATTTGTTTTATGCAGAGTTCCTGCTGCTGCTGCTGCTGCTGCTGCTGCTGTTGCTGCTGCTGCTGCTGTAGGGATTCCCCTATACAGGCGGCTAGGGAGATGCGAGTTGGTGGTGCGCATGCTGCTGCTGCTGCTGCTTCTGCTGCAGGAAGCCCGAGGCAGTTGTTGGTGTTGCTGCCCCAGGTGTACAGACACTGCGTGGCTGCTGCTGCTGGCCTTTCTCCTTCGCTTTGCTGCTCGCTAGTGACGCCCAGTGTAAGAGTATGTAAGGAGCCGCATGCAACCTGAGTATATCTAATAAGAGAATAAATATATATATTTTCAGGTTTCTTCTCTCGCCCCAGAAGAGACACAAACCCCGCAGCATCTGCTGCTAACACCGTCGCTCCACCAGCTCCTGCAGCAGCAGAGCCCAGGCTGAGCCAACCCTTACAATCTCTGCTGCTGCTGCTGCTGCTGCTGCTGCTGTTGCTGCTGCTGTTGCTGTCGCTGCTGGCAGCAACGAGGGAGTGAATAAGGGTGAGGCGGCTTAGAGGCATACGCGAGAGATCCAGCAGCAGCAGCTGCTGAGGAGACAGTATAATTTCTCTGTCTCTGCTCAGGCCGCACTGGCCGTGGCTGTTGCTGCCCCACACAAAGAGACACCCGTCTGCTGTAACAGCAGCAACATGTGAATTCCCGCAAGATACCTGCAGCAACCGCTGCTGCTGCTGCTGCTGCTGCTGCTGCTGCTGTTGCTGCTGCTGCTGCTGCTGCTGTGTGCTGGCGACAACAGAGACAAAGAGGTCAGGAGACACTGCAGTGGGCTCGTGTCTGCTGCAGAGGTCTCCAAGGCCCAGCACGCCGTTCGCGTTGTTTCCCCAGGTGTACAGACACCCCGTCACGGTCAGTGCAGCACAGAAGTCAGGGCCGCAGCAAACAGCAGCAAATGCAGCAGCAGGATGCGAAGGGCCTCTACAAGGAGAAGGTGCAGCTGAGCATTCGCTGAGCATAGCGGGTAAGAAAACCTGTCTTTCGTTCTGTTGCTGCTGTTGTTGCTGCTCAGAAGTTGCTGCTGCTGCTGCTGTTGCTGCTGTTGCTGCTGCAGCAGTTGCATGCGAAACAGCAGGGAATATAAGCCAGGAGAAGCGAAGGGACTCTCTGAGCCCGAAGTCCCTTGAGTGGTCTGCAGGATGTCTCCGCAAGCTGCCGTTGCTGCTCCCGCTGCCGCTGCTGCTGCTGCTGCTGCTGCTGCTGCTGCTGCTGCTGAGGTCTGTGTCTTCTTCAGAACCATCGAGAGAACCCCAGGCAAAGAGAAGGCCCTCACGTGTCACTGCTGCACTGTAGTGCAGCCCCGCGGAGACGCTCCGCACCGTCCCGGGAAGAGCCACCACTTGCTGCGGCTGGCAGCAAAACCTGCAGCAGCAGCAGCGCAGCACCAGCAGCGCGACAGCAGCAGTGCAGCAGCAGCAGCAGTGCAGCAGCAGCAGCAAATATGTAGGGTCCATAGAACTGCCTACTACGGCAGCAGCAGAGGGAGAAGAGGCCTGCCCTTTACGATGCCCCCGTAGTAACATCAGCATCAGCAGCAGCAGCAGCAGCAGCAACAGCAGCAGCAGCAGCAGTAAGGGAGAGGAGCAGCAGCAGGCAGCACGCACCACACATCTGTCCCTCTTGCTGCTCTGACGAAGTTGTCTCTTTCTTCTAGAACGGGGTCAACAGGAAAATAAGCTGCTTCGCCGAGGCCCAAAGCCCCCTTCTCATTCAGACCGCATGCAAACAGCAGCGGCTGCGGCTGCTGCTGCCACTGCAGCCACTGCAGCACGTGCTCGCAGCTTTCTCCCTTCACAACATACGGAGACAGTGACGCGGCTCCATCACCCCCATCAACACCCGCAGCAAAGCAGCTGAAACGGGCTGCAACTGCTGCTTTTGCTGCAGCTGCTGCTGCTGCTCTTGCTGCAGCGGCTGCTGCAGCAGCTGCTGGATCCGCAGCAGCAAATAGGGATGCTCGAGAAGTAGCAGGAGAAGCAGCAGCAGCAGCAGAAGCAGCAGCAATCCCTAGGACTGCTGCAGCTGCCCACTCTGCTGCAGGGTCTCCTCGGTCTCCTCGGGGGCAGACAGCTGAGGCCCAGCGGATGACGGGGGCCCCCAGCCTTCTGATATTGTAGAGAATGACGGCGCATGCAACGTGGGGCTGCAGCAGAGGGTCAGGCAGGTGACAGTGTCTGTGCTCTGGGTATTTTGGGGTGTACGTACACCCGAAGAGCCTCGATGCCTGCTCGTGCTGCTTCCTCGCGAGAGGAGATGTGGGGTGTGCAGACTCAGACGGAACCAGCACCGTTGTCTTTTGCTGCTGCTG